ATATAATATAATTTATACAATAATAACGCATTTTATTATCTCGATTACAGGCTTTTTTATGTAAAGCTTTTTTAAATTTCGTTAAGTTAATTTACCTGAAATTCTTCGTTGCACCAGATCTGTCGAAACGCCTCCACAAGTTCCTGTTGCATGGACAGCCACTGCTCATCAAATTTGATTAACAGAGACACAATTCGGATGCTTTGGTACTGCAACTCGTTTCTCTCATTTTCGGTAAGGGCCAAATTGACATGCACGTTCGAAAGGGCCATCGTTATCAACCTTTGTATCATATTACACTGAATATGATCGCGGAATGGCTTCCCATCCTTGTGTTTTATCATATAGGTAAGGTATCTGCTGAATTGTTGATCCTAAAACAAGAATATTAGAAATTAACAATAAACAAACAACAAAAAGTACGATTATTTTCATAAATTGTAACTGAACGTAAAATACGAGTCCATACTTAGATCAAGGTTATCGATTTTTATAGAAATTTTACTACTTACTTTAATGATGTTGTCGTCGAGGAAGAAGTCCAGCGTTTCTGAAGGATAACGAAGCAGGAATTTCATGAGGACATCCCGGAATGGAGAACTCGCCTCGATTAACATCGCCTGTTCAGCCTGAAGTATCAGCTGGCAGAGTTGTTTTATAAATTTAGAAGATGCTGCTGGAGTTTGGTGATAGATACTGATTACAGTGGCAATTTTTTCCTCATCTTCACCTTTCTTTGAAACACCTGTGGAATCTACGAATTAAATGAATATAGACGAGGTAATACAAGAAAAAAAGAAACAAATTAATTCGTATAAAATAAATGTGTGCTTACTTTTCTGGTTCTGGACTAAATTCTTTAATAGCTGTTTCAGTATTTCAAGTAACTGTTCACAAAGCTTTTCATTAAACACAAGAGGAAACAACTGGGTCAAATAAGACAGCATTTTTACTCCATTCAAAGTCAAGTTCTTCACATCTCCCAATGTCGACAATAACGGTCTCATAGTGGAACGAACCTGAAATAACAAATAACAAAATTATTTTTAAAATTATTAAGAATATACCCCCTTACCAGTTCTTTTTCAACATGGTATCCGACGATAAACTGTTTCATACATGTAAAAGCAGTCTCCTGAAGTTCGGCATTAGGTTTTTCAAGGGCCTTATATAATACTTGAAATATTTGATCTCGTACATCAGACTCTAGGTAATGACATGCTGCCAGCACCCTAAGAGCACTGATTCGAAGAGGTATGAAGTTTGTAATAGACTTGTAGCACGGCAAATTGTTTAATTTCGCATCTTCTGTGTTGCAAAGAGACAAGAGATCGGCAATAAACAAATTATCTTCTTTCATTTCCGTATCTATAACAGGAACAATAAGAAGGATATCACTTAAAAAAAATTATTCACGTCACTAACCTATGGTGAAAAGTCTGGGATTTAGTGTGGTACAAAACATGTTTCCGTCCATAAGTCCCATCTGTGCAATCGCAGGCTGATGCTTTAACAGGTGTTTTTTGGGGGGTACCATGTCCGCAAGTAGATCCCTGAAAGGCTCCATTACAGCCGTGACAGTCTTACCTTGTTTATCAGCAAGTAGACGTAACGACGCCATTGACTGTTCCCTGACCAAAGTGTGGGGACTAGTAACTTGACGTACGAGTTCGTATGTGATTTTGTGTAGAGCTTTCTTTTGCATTTCCTTCGTGGATTGATCGGTGCCATTTGGAGGAGGAGTAACGCAAACGATTAACATTTTTTCAAGGTTGGTTTTGGCCATATCAAGAGCCCCACTGGATACCTAATCAAAGAAAAAAACGTTAGCAAAAACATTTGGAAAATATAACGAGGTCACACTTTACCTCTCCAGTCAAATCCATCATAACAAATAAGAGGGCTTTGAGGAACATAAACATATGTTCATAAACCCATTTGAGCGCACAACGTTCATACATGAATTTGATAGCGTAACAACCTCCTAGTTTCGCGTACCAGGCTCTTTCGTAGCAGAGGGCACACATTTTTTCTGCTAAGTACTCGATTAAAGGCAACCGACAAGCCTACAAAAGGACATACATGAAAATATAATAAGACCACAGCCAAAATAATGTTGTAAATAATAAATCAACACTGATGTTTCGCTTCTAGTTAAGAGTCATTCTCAAGGTAGGCATTTACAGTCTAATTGTCTTAATTTCAAGCATGTGCGGTTATTAAGATAATTGGACTGAAAAAACTGCATTAAAAGTGTCTCTAAAGTACAGGGGAAACATCGATGATGTTTTTACATCAATAAAACTATTTACAACTGTATTTTACTGGCTCTGATCTTTTACACATTGTGATAAGGGAATAAATTTAATCTTTTGGATGCCTCATCATATGATTGAGGCTACATCATTTTCATATTTAAATAACATACCATTTCCTTACTGCCAAGCAATGTTGTGGCTGTTTCTAACATTAATACGAGTGCAAGGTGACCTGGTTTACAAAGTTCCTTTTCTTCATGTCCCATGATAACTGCAAGTGCATCTACTAACACCAAAGGATCCAAGGCTATTTGTTCATTAGGCCTGTAGATCGATAAATGAATGACTTATGCTTATACACATACACAAGAACTTACTTAGGAGTTATGGCGAATGTGCCAGCTTGTTGTACAACTGCTATGGTTGTATAATGCCTGACTATGTTCACCATAGTAGTAAGGACAGGATGACGAAGTTCTTTAATTGCTGCAGCCACAAACATACCTAACCAATAAATAAAATAATAATGTAATAATTTACACATACATTCGAGTTAAAAATGGTTCCCATATATAATAATCAATAAGTATTAATATAATATAATTTATACAATAATAACGCATTTTATTATCTCGATTACAGGCTTTTTTATGTAAAGCTTTTTTAAATTTCGTTAAGTTAATTTACCTGAAATTCTTCGTTGCACCAGATCTGTCGAAACGCCTCCACAAGTTCCTGTTGCATGGACAGCCACTGCTCATCAAATTTGATTAACAGAGACACAATTCGGATGCTTTGGTACTGCAACTCGTTTCTCTCATTTTCGGTAAGGGCCAAATTGACATGCACGTTCGAAAGGGCCATCGTTATCAACCTTTGTATCATATTACACTGAATATGATCGCGGAATGGCTTCCCATCCTTGTGTTTTATCATATAGGTAAGGTATCTGCTGAATTGTTGATCCTAAAACAAGAATAATAGAAATTAACAATAAACAAACAACAAAAAGTACGATTATTTTCATAAATTGTAACTGAACGTAAAATACGAGTCCATACTTAGATCAAGGTTATCGATTTTTATAGAAATTTTACTACTTACTTTAATGATGTTGTCGTCGAGGAAGAAGTCCAGCGTTTCTGAAGGATAACGAAGCAGGAATTTCATGAGGACATCCCGGAATGGAGAACTCGCCTCGATTAACATCGCCTGTTCAGCCTGAAGTATCAGCTGGCAGAGTTGTTTTATAAATTTAGAAGATGCTGCTGGAGTTTGGTGATAGATACTGATTACAGTGGCAATTTTTTCCTCATCTTCACCTTTCTTTGAAACACCTGTGGAATCTACGAATTAAATGAATATAGACGAGGTAATACAAGAAAAAAAGAAACAAATTAATTCGTATAAAATAAATGTGTGCTTACTTTTCTGGTTCTGGACTAAATTCTTTAATAGCTGTTTCAGTATTTCAAGTAACTGTTCACAAAGCTTTTCATTAAACACAAGAGGAAACAACTGGGTCAAATAAGACAGCATTTTTACTCCATTCAAAGTCAAGTTCTTCACATCTCNTAAATTTCCTTCTTGTGCTTCTCAAAATAACCGCACCATTATCGACCCTATACAGGTTAATAGAAAAAGTACGAATTATACTTTTATTAGTTACAGTAATTAACATACATTACTTAAAAAATATACGTATTTTATATGTTTAGTCTTATACATTTAATGTACGTTATGATATTTATCTATATGCTACTCTTAATTTTAATGACTAAAAACAATTTTCGTCAAAAAAAATCGTAAATGAACTTTAGCACAACACCATTACTCCAACCGAATCCTGCTTGTACCGGGTATTCTCCGCCACCACCATAAAGTCCTGCTTCGCGGGCGTCATATTTCTCAAACATTTCTCCATGTTTATAAAAACCTAACATATTCCCATCGATCCATTTACTAGCTAAATTTTGTCCTTCTTCCATAGCATCTGGGTTTCCTGAATTTAATAATGCGTAAACCACCAAGTGCTGTAAAGGCGGCCAGGCGTTGGGGAAGTCCCATTGTTGCCCAGAGTGGATTAAAGAAGTTGGCACCCCTCCAACAAAGTCCAACACTCCTTCTCTCTTCAAATAATCGAGGACCAGTCGTCCCAATTCACTGTTGTAGTGTGGATTGTCAGCGTAACAATTTGCCCATAAAGGAGAAACGTTACTGGGATAAAATAATGTTCTATGACTTCGAGATTCTGTATCGTAATCGTACCAGATATTGTCAGTAGAGTTCCACATGATCTTATCAATATTGTAGCGCCACTCTAAAGCCTTCGACTTCCATTGTTCACCTTTTCTTTCATCACCGACAATCTGGTAGAGTTCAGCAATTTTAAAAAAAGCACCACATAAGTAAGCATTTAGATCAACAGGAATAAGACGGTGCATTTGAATGTTCGATATGTTTAAGGATACGTTTCCAGATTCCTGATCAAACATCCAGCGGGTTGAGAAGTCCCACCCAGTTTCTACAGCACTCTTCAACTCCATGTAAGCTTGTTCGCGTCTTACCTCTGATTTCCACACTTTTGCCGCATTATAATCGTTTAAATATGATTCTGGTCTGGGCCCAGAGTACCGAACAAAGTGTTGAGCTAAAGCCAAAACACCGTCGGGGGTATCCACATAAATTAACTTCTTTTTAAGCCAATGCTGCAGTTCGAGTGCGACAAAATCGATATTTTTTTTAAGCCAACTTATATCGTGCGTTTCTTTGAAGTAAGCATAGGCCATATATGTTAATAGAGGCGGCTGTGACCGATTCAAGTAGTATATTTTCCCGCCATTGGGCACGAAACCAAACTTCCGGACCAGATGTATAAAATTATCGATAATTCCACGTGCAGTGTCATACATGTCGGATATGAGAAGTCCCTCAATGATCCAATAAGAGTCCCAGTAATAATATTCACTAAATCTTCCTCCGGGGACCAAAAAATTGTTCGGAACGGGAATGTAACTATACGGCGAGGGATCATCCAAAACTTCTTTTCGGAATTTTCGGGTCAACTTGGGCCACAATTGATGCAAGTCATTAGCGAATTTCCTTAAGGTGTCATTTCGGATTTCCTTCAAAAACGGCGGATCAACTCGATAATCTGTAGCGGTGGCATGCATTATAGCATTCGAGTCTTCAAAATGAGCCGCAACAAAATCGCGCACATTCTCCTTAGTCAAATTTTTTGATTCGTGCAAGAGTTCGAAGTCTTCGAGAATCTGCTTTTCAGAATATTTCATTTTAAGGGCGAAAAACGCTCTTCGATCTACGAGAGCCTCCAGTAATTGGACGTTTTTCAGTAGATCACCGTAACAAAATATGGGACTAGTACAGGGGGGTTCAAAAAATGAACCGTCACAATAACACGAAAACAATACAAACAAACTTAAAATATGTAAAATCATTTTTTTTTTGTGAAATTTTTATAATAGCGACCGCAAGCTTTAAAAACAGTCTTTCGCGTACGTAAAGCAAATGACCACTGACGTATCACAGTTAAAAAGCGAAAGTAGTAACGCATATAAAGTAATTGCCGTGTAACAATCTAATTGCGAAAAAAAAAAACATGTTCGTGAGACGAAAAATTACGGGCTTTTTGTGAATGTATTAATTAACAAAAACCAGTCAGTATCCGAGAGAAAAAATACTAGTAATTGATACACTCTAAATCACGATACATGCGTGTATCTTTTATACGTTACATATATGTGAGGGATACCATTTAGGATCGTTTTCGTATTAAGATACAGTGTGTCATACGTTGAACTTTTTTATTAAAAAGTAGAGAACGAAACTAAAGGCTACGGTTGGGTAAGCATGAGTTGATCTGCTTCCACTATAGGTTTCTTTCATATCATTTGTACAACTTATTATTATTATTATTATATTACCTTCAACGCATTAAACCGGAAGTTATTTTATTCCTATCAAATTTTTTACCTGTAAATTACTGAATGATTCTTAAATAAACAGTTATTTAATGTAAATATAAAATAAATGGGTGACAAAATTTCAACGTTTTTTTTAGATTTATATTAAATCATATTTATTTGTAATTTCGAAAAAAAAATCAAAATTACAAAATATAAAATGTAAACTAACTAATTTCCAAATTTCTGTAGAACCATATGATTGTTTGATACATCATAAATTGCATATTATATCTATAGGGCGTACAGCCGTGCAATGTTTAATAAATAAAATACTACAATGGACTTTCTAGAAAAAAGTTTAATTTTTCAAACGTAATTTATTTAACTGTTCCGACATCCCGTATATATTCAATCAACCGTGTAGCCCAAGTGCGTGGGCATTTATTTAATGTTAAAACCAAACAGGTAATTATAGAATCGGAAAGAAATGAGAATTATCGATCACGATTTTCAAAGTTATATAAGCCGCAAGCCTCTCTGCAACACAAGGAAGCTGTGATTAACATTCTTCAATCCGCTGTAATTTATTTTTAATGAAGCCGTATAAATCTCGTTTACGATTGGTATGATTTCTAATTGGCACTTAACGACAAGAAGATGCAGACAGAATAAAACAAAAATACTACAATATAAAATCAAAGGAAAATACACACTTGCGACAATAATTACATGAAAATAAAATATTTAATTGGAAAATAAAGATATCAACAAAAATTTCAAAGATTTTGCAAAAGATCATTAATGTCTAGAACTTGGTGATTAATATTTATAACTTACTACATCTATACGAAAAAAGGGAAATTAAATGTGGAAATGAATTTGTGTTTCATTATTTACAATTGTTATGTAAAGCTTTTTTAATTTCAAGTCTCATAAAAAGGGTAGTCTTCTGATTTTAAAAATGTTTGTATGCAAAACTGATATTATTAAGATTCAAAGTATAGCTTAAATAATCGAACAGAAACACTTCTCTAAATTTCCCCTCCTCTTGTATAAACTGTAATATGTTAATTTGTGAAACGTCCTTGTTGTTTTCTTTTATTTTATATTTAAATATGCTCATCATTTATACACGATCAATCAAAACCGTACATAAAAGAAAGGATCTTAAAAATATCTGACCTGTTAACGCAGTCTGATGGGTCTCTCTGCTTTCTGTGTAAATGGATTTGTAGGAAGACCCTTTGATGTGAGGAATTCGATTTATTTCCTGGAAACTGGGATGCATGAAGAGGTTTACTATTGTCTTTTTATCATCTGATAGATTAAGGGATGCTGCTAGATACGAATTTATAACGTCCCATGCTTGTCGCCTATAGAAAGAATCCGTGGAACTTTGCTTCAAAGCGCTGAATGCGGTTTCTATGACCTATAAATAACAAGAAAACCAATAAATATTATATTATTATCTTACACATTTATAGTAATTTTCACCTTTGACACAGGAAATTCTATTGCGTGTTGCTGTTCGTGGAAGTGAGCGATAATAGATGGAGGACTATGATCCGACGAAATGTATTCTAATTTTTGAGGTTCTGTCATCATTTTCCGATTGCCACCACCGAATTTTCCCAAAACTCTGATGAGGAAAATTACATCAACAAAATTTCCAAATGCAGGGGAAAACGAGTTTAAACTTACTTAAAAGCCACTTGAGCAACTTGATCGTTATTCCTCAGTGTTCTCCAGAGGGCCTGCATGAGATCTGCACGGACTGGCTGGATGTGCTCATAGAGGAAGTCATGCTGCAAATTGTCTACACACAACTCCAATGTTCTCAAACCCTGCAAAAGAAGGTAAAAGTTAATTCAACACATAAGCATAAAATACAAAACAATATATACAATAAGAGGATTTTTAGCAGTAACTTACTTGACTTATTAGAACGTGTGATCCATTCAATGCTGACACCAAAGGATCCATTAACATCGGCAAGTATGGCAAAAGAGAACTTAATCTGACTGGCACTGTTAAACATAATTCAACAAAAAGGTCTTTCATATGCTGCTTATGAAGACCACTTTGAAGCCTGTTCAGTCCTTTAATAAAAAGATACATAAATTAAGACTTGAAAGTAACAATAAAAAATTATCTTACCTTCTAATAGGTTAGGTAACAAAGGGAGAAATTCTTGATATAATAAATCGTGACTACCTCCTCCTATAGATCTAAATAAAGCTCTTAACAATAAAAAGTAATTGTAAGGTTCTTTAGCACTCATTGCTAATTCCATAGATCTAAAACAAGAATTAGACAAATATAAGAGAACACAACTTACAAGAAAATAAGTAACTTTTTGTTTACCTGTTGACAATCTGATGAAGGTGTGGTCTTAGCATGTTCTCGTTCTCCTGAGGGAATAAAGACACGCTTCCAAAGACCAATTTAAACAAACGAAGGTAAAGGTTGCTGCGGTCCAAGTTAGAGCCCATCTCCTCCATTCTCTCCAGAAGATATTCGACCAGAACAGTAGCAAAAATGGGACTAGTGGTGGGATTTGCTAGTAATGTGTTGGGGACTATTTGAAGAGTTGCATTTTTGTAGACTCGCTCTACCAAATATTCTATAGTAGTAGAAAAGATTTCGTGGAAAGTTTGTGGATTCATCATAGAAAACTGAAAAATATCGTTTTATAATAAATGAAGAGGAAATGGGACACAAGTGATAAGTATACCCATGGTACTGTTTACTTACAACTCCGCTAAAATGTTCTAAAACATCCTTTTCTTCTTTTGATCTGACGGTTTGTTGATTAGCCCTTGTAGCAGGTCCAGTTTGTGGAGTTGCCGTTAAAGTATAAATGTCTAGAGCTCGTAGGGTCCATTTAACTAGTCGAACAAAGACCAAAGTCTCGTGAGGTTGAAACTGCTTTGTAGCCGCAATTTGCTGCATTGAACTAGTCTGAAAAAAAAATCTTGTATAAAAGAACATTTGTTAAAAAAGTTCTACATACTTTGCATGTTGCACAACCCCATGTAATGGTCTTGACCCCACACACTAGAGTTTTCACAAGGCTTCGGTAGTCAGCTACGTTATAATTGTTGTTTTGATTACATGTTGTCCCGATACGAGACCGGACCTCCTTCTGGGTAGTATCGGTAACAGAACTGTCCAAAATATCAACAGAGGACTTGTCGGGGTCACCTTTTATTTCTGTTGTTTGGGAAACTTGCGTCTGAAGTCCAGGCGTTGTGCTCTGTTGCTGCTGTTGTTTACTAGCCGAAAATTAAAAGAATGCTTCGTTAATTAGAGAGAAAAAGATAGCAATAGTTTCTTTTACCACTTGCTGATGAGAATTGGCAGATGGATTTTGGAAATAGTTTTAAATTTTAAAACAAACACCTCTAACATACGCATAAGTAATTCTCGTCCTTCTACGTTATTCTCCGCTTCTGCCCTTACCCGTATGCAGTCCACTAGATTCAGTAACAATTTGCAAGACATAGTTTGGATCCTAAAAAGAACTTCATTAAAATAATAAGGTAAGAAATAGAATTTAAACAAAACGAATCACAATCAGCCTCCGCAATTCTTATTTTTTATATTTTCATAAAAATAAAGTCGACCACATGTAATGTTACTCACGTAGTTGCTAAGCTGTCGTCATGTACATTTTTGCTAAAAAGGTGAACTGCCCTTGCGAGATTTGATAAAGGAAGCTGTTGACGCACATGATGCACAAGATCGGCTAATGTTGAATATGCAAGTGGGCGGAGCGATTCGTGCGTTGTCCAACCCCTCCCCAATAGGATGTCTTCGTCGAATAATTTTTCCATATGTGGTACAAATTCTAGGTAATAAAAATAAATTCTATTACGACAACCAAAAAATGATTATAGTTTTCTTACTATTTCTGAGATCGGTGGCCAGTATATGCCTGGCAGCTATCAGAAGTTCACGTCTTAAGTGGGCTACTTCCATGGGACACAGGGCCAAAAGTTGCAGCATGCCTTGGACCATCATAGTGGAATGATTGGAAACTACTTCCTGGTACATTTTTATTATATAGGCGAGAAAAGATAAAGTCTTAATTTGGGCCCCCATAAAATCCACAAATATTTCTTTGTTAAAATTTTCTGATTGTCTGTAATATTACGAAAAAAAAAAAAATTAAAACAATTGCAAGAAAAGTGCTCTACAAAAAATTAATAGACTACCTTTGTTGCAAAGTTGGTTGAAGTGTAATAGTAGTCATAATTAAAGGTATAAAATCACTAACATCTTGGTGAACACTTTGTTTATACAATTGATACATAAGAACAACAATAATAGGTAATTCCTGGAGCACTTTTAAGGACAGTACAGCTTTGGGAATTAAATTGTACTAAAAAAAAAATATATATGAAAAACAAACTTTTGCAATTAAAAAATCAAAGACTTACTGTTATCGTAGTGCCATCTTTGGTCTTGTTCTCTGTCTGTATAGTGGTGATGGTGTAAGTTTCTTTCAAAAGTTCTTCAATGTTAAGTTCCGTTAAATCTTTCACTTTAATAGGAGGTTTGGGTTCAAAAATTTTATTCATGTGATTAGGCAAATCAGAATAGATAGTTTTTACAAATTGCAAAAAGTGTTGAATCTAAAACACAAAAAGTTAATATTGATTTAATACGTAGTTATATTTTGAAATGTGTATGTCCAATGTACCTCTGCATTAAAGGAAGGCCTATGTTGTTTGTGTAATTCAATAATAATCTTTAGACAAACGAGAACGTTTTCTTCATTCTCCAATTCTAGAAGTTTTAACATTAACGAAAGAATTGGTTTTACATGGGGTCGTAAAAGATCATTATTTGGAAGCCTATGTAACAATTCCAATATTAATTTTCGCACCTAAAAAGTATACATATTTCAATAAACAAGAAATTCGATAGGCATATTTTGTAGAATACCTGTTGAATATTATATTCAGCTATAAAATGCGGTTCACCTTCTTGTAGAATTTTTAAAAACATTTTAACTGCATGTTCCAGAAAACTGGGGTACAAATACGAAGAGAGTATAAGCTAAAAATATGCATTAGTAACTGAAAGATACATATAATATTGTATTAAATAAATTTACCTCAAGATTTTCGCCAATTTCTTGGATTACTTTTAGTTTTAGATAGTCTTTACAGCTGGGATCCGCAAGTGTAGTAATATAACTACGGAATTTGTTCATTTGTGCAGTTGTTGGATCAACCCCAGCCATTTTCAGTGTTTTTTTTTGTAATATTATATTAACTTATTTTAAACTGGCCAAACTATTGTTTCTGTAAAAAAATAAAAATACTACATTAATTGATTTTTTTTACTGTATTTTATCCTTGAAAACGATGTATCAATTTAACAAAGACCTTCAATTTAATTTTTCCTAACGAGACTATCAAGTCAGGCGAAAAACGCGACTAAATGTAATTTATCACGCCTTTGTAAAGGGAAAACTTTGATAAGTAACCCCCTCCCTTTTAACGATGGATACGTTTTAGTTTGTCGAAGACAACCCCCCTTTTGAATTGGGTAAATGAGTTATCGATTATGCCCCTTACTAAATTAGTTTTCTAGTCTAGTCCAATCACTTCTACAAGCACATGCAGAACACAGATGTGCTTAACTTAACTAACCCATTATTTTAAACAAACAAAAAGTTTACAATCATTATATTGGAAAACAAAGAATCGAAATGGATGATCGAACTGTTGACCTTATTTTTGCCGGTTCTCTGGAAAATCTACCACCTGTTAGTTCCAAGATCGTCAGAATTTTTACAAGTTCAACATTCACAGGTACGCGGAGATAACTGAGAAAAAATAATAGGTAAACTATTTTACTTTTTAATTTTCGTAGATACTACGATGGAAAGAAATACGCTCATGGCAAAATGCTATCCTAAAATTAAAGATTACTGCAGGGAAAAACACGGACTTGAATTTCAGGCGAGTTTTAAATAATATACAAAAGTATTTGTAATCAAGAAATAAAAAAAAAAAAAGAAAAATGATTGTTAATCTTCCGATAAAAAAAGGAACGAACAATTTGTTAAAAATTATTTATTAAAAGTCTCTAATCTTCCCATTATATTATGTAATAAGAAAACATGTACACATAAATATGCACCGTTATTTTTTTTTGCACCTGTCGCAATTTACTGCATTTAAAATAGCCTAAAAGTCCTTGAAACGTTCTTGTTATCACGGTACCAAGTGGTACAAAATTTGACCTAGAAATTGAAACATGGAAATCAATAAGATTCTAATTTTTCCTTAAACAACACTCTAATTTTTCCCTTAATAATATTATTATTTTTTCCAATACTTTATGGGAAGCATAAAATATGTAACTAAGTTTTCAAAAATAAAAAATGACCTCCAATTATTATAACTTACCATTAGGATAAATAATTTAAAAAATCGTTAAGTTACAAATATTTTAGTTAGTTGANAAACTTCGCATTTCCCTAAAACTAGAACAGCCCACATCCTTAACTATTTGCGAACAGTAATCTAATCTAGGTCTACCTCTACCCCTCATAACTCCTGTTTCTGCCTCTAATATGTCTCTGACTAGTCCTTTATGCCTGAGAAGGTGTCGTACCAACTTATCTCGCCTATTTTTTATTGACTTCCATGGAGTCCTCTGTTCTCCAACTCTTTCTAATACATATTCTATCAATTCTAATAATTAAATACATATAAGAATAATTTAGGTGGTCGACATGAGATGGGGTGTCAGGGATGAAGCAACAGACGATCATATGACGACGGAACTATGTATGAAAGAAATAGAGAATTGCCAAAGACTTTCGATGGGCCCAAATTTTGTCGTTAAGTATATTCATATACACATTTAATTTATTTACTAAAACAATAAAAAATTGACTTCTTAAAGTAAATATTAACCTGCTTTCAAATAAGAATTCGTTGTGTAAGCATTAAAGTCTGCTTGATGCTTGCTCAGGTAAAGAAAATGAAGCAGAGATAGGGGTGCATACAGTGAAATGGTATATATGACGAAAAGATATATGTATGTAATTTTTTTTTTTGAGTCTAAAACAAATTTCTTACTAATTTACTCTATATATCCTACATTTTATAAAATTAAACAAAAAATTATACAATTTTTCTGTACTATTCACTCATACCTAAAAAACCAATAGAGCAGGCATACCTTGCTGAGTGGTACATTTCTTATAAGTTTTTAATTTATGTAAAGAAATACTAAAATATTTTCTATAGGTTTTTCTTGGTCAAAAATATGGTTATAGACCAATCCCCACGTATATATTGTCATCAGAACTTCAAATGATACGAGACGAATTAGCTGCAACCGGAAATGACGTTGCACTTATTGACACGTGGTATAAAAAAGATAGCAACGCTGTACCACCCATTTCGGTACTTCAACCTATTTCTTCGATCTTGCTCAATTTTAATAACAAGGTTTTTACAAAAACGTGAACAAAATAATTCAAAATAATGAGAATCTATTAATCTTTAGAGAATCCCTAAACTTCAGGCGCAAGATCAAGCCGTTTGGTGGGCAACTCTCGAAAAATTTCAAAAATTGTTTCGCAAAGCAGCATCTTCTCTACATCAACAGGGAAAGATGGATAATGATGCTAAACACAATTACTTTATGTCCGGTATTACTATTAATGATTCATTATACATTTACAAGGGTTTTGAAAATGTGCACAATAAACACTTCCTGATATTATTATAGTAACGGAAAGAGAAGTCATAAATGGTATCCTTAATGTAAGAAATACAAAAAACCATTGCCTTGCGTACATCCGCTACATAAACAACATAAACCTCCAAAATTTAAAGAAAGCTTCCCTTTTTGTCGATATAATTAACAGAAGCTTGGACCAAGAGTCTTCCAAATTATTGGCAAATTTAAGAGATGAGAGATTGCCAGCAAAAATTGAAACAACGAACTTACAGAAGTAATTTTCTATTCTAATCCAATTGCAATTGCTATTGAAGTCACTGCTCAATTAATGAGATGGATTTTTTTAAGGTACACAGTTGAATGGATAGGCAGAGAAGGATTGGATCCAGAAACTCACGAGGAGTATCTGAAGAATTTTATCAGTCATTTTTATCGTAATATCACAAAATTAGTGGATAGAGCAATGAGAAAAGAAGATTCTAGTGCGCAGGGTCAAATAGTTACAGAAATTTTACAGCACTTACATGCTTGCAATAATTCCGTAAAGGTAATACCTTTTATTAAGTTAAAAACAGTCGTAGTTCAACTTACACCCCTTTTATGTAGGTTTTTTATGGTAGAGAAGAAAACTTAGAACGAATCCATCAATATATGATAGGAAATTCAGATAAACCGTTGGTTCTGTATGGAGAAGGAGGTTGTGGAAAAACCTCTCTTTTAGCGAAAGCAGCAAGCATGGCTACATCGAATGGATGGTTCCCAAATGCTAAACCAATCAGTATTGTGAGATTTCTTGGAACTACCCCAGATTCGAGCGCTTTAACGCCTACCCTAATTTCCATATGTCAACAGGTTGGTTATTATACTTTACCTATTTTGAAGACTATGTAGATAATTTTTTTTCTCTAGATTTCATACAATTTCATGATACCTTTCGATACCATACCGGACGATTTAGTCCCACTAACAGCTCATTTTAAACAGTTATTAACAAGCGCCACCCAGGAGCAACCTTTCTTTTTATACCTTGACTCTGTTGACCAACTCACAAGCACCCAAGATGCTAATAAAGTGTCTTGGTTACCTACAAGGTTACCGCCTCACTGTAAAGTAACTATAACACAACAGCGACACATATTACCATCCTAATTTTCTCATTTCTATTTCAGATCATTGTTTCTTGCGCATGCGAAGAAAATAATGTCGAAGTTTCAAGAGAATATTACATTCTCAGGAAGATGATTGACAACGAGGAGAACTTTATCGAAGTCAGCGCTTTGGGAGAAGATCTTGCCATACAGGTCATAAAGTAAGTATAGGGTTGTTCGGAAAGTCATTTCGTTTTTTTTTTGTGGAAATGAAAGACAGTTTTCGTATAATAAACAAATACTTTATTAAATTATATATTGACCGTTCTGGTCCAACACCTTTTGCCATCTTTCTGGTAGTAGCATAATTCCACGCTCATAAAATTTTTGGTCTTTGCTGGCAAAAAACTGATCGAGGAGGTTTTTGACCTCCTCATTTGAGGTGAAGGTTTTACCGTCTAAAAAATTTTGGAGTGACCGGAACAAATAATAATCCGATGGTGCCAGGTCTGGAGAATATGGTGGGTGTAGCATTGTATCCCATTCAAGCTGTAAAAGCTTTTGGCGAGTGACCAAACTTGTGTGAGGTCTCGCGTTGTCTTGGTGAAACACTACACCTTTCCTGTTGATTAGTTCTGACCTTTTCTGTTGAAGTGCATCATTCAGTTTGTCCAGCTGATGACAGTAGACTTCCGAATTAATCGTTGTGTTATCCGGTAAAAGCTAAAAAAAAACGATTCCTTTAAAATCCCACCAAACAGACAGCATCACCTTTTTTTGGTGAATATCGGCTTTGGAAATGGTTTGAGCCGGTTCATCTTTTTTGCTCCATGACCTCTTGCGTTTGACGTTGTTGTATACAACCCATTTTTCGTCCCCAGTGATGATGCGCTTCAAAAACGGATCATTTTCGTGACGTTTGAGAAGCGAATCGCAGACGTCAATGCGGCGACACAGATTTCTCTCTGTGAGAACATGGGGAACCCATACATCGAGCTTCGAGGATAATCCCAGGCCTTTCAAGTGGTCATAAACTGTTGAATTTGATAAATTTAACCTCAATCCGATCTCACGTGTTGTTATTCGCCGGTTCACATCAACTAATGCCTTTATCGCGTCTTTATCAGCTTCAACCGGCCTTCCCGAACGTGGTGCATCTTCGACATCAAAATTGCCGGATCGAAATTTAGCGAACCAGTTCTGGCACTGGCGTACTGTCAACACACCTTCTCCATACACATCAGTCAATTTCTTTCTGGCTTGAACAGCATTTTTACCCTTTCTGTAGTAAAACAGTAAGATATGTCGAAAATGCTGCTTATCGCTCTCCATATTTAAAAGGGCACCAACCAAAAACTACTGCGTAGAATTAATTGGAATTTTTCACACACAAGCCTTGCTATATGAGCTCTCAAAGCATATAAAAATTATACGGCTTAAATGTGAAGTTGGGTGCAAAAGAATACAATTAAATCCTCTGTCGGGAAAAAACGAAATGACTTTCCGAACAACCCTATAGATTAATACCAATTCTACTCCATAAAAACGCGTTTCGTTTATTTAGGATGTGGATGGGAACTGCTAAAAGAGATTTGAACAACTACCAGTGGCGCTTGGTTTCAAATGCTATAGGAAAATGTAGTTTGCCCATCTTCGTTAAGTTGGTTTTTGCGGAAATATGCCGGTGGAGAAGCTACACAAAACCTCAGGATACTCACTTGGCATCGACAGTCATGGACTCTATCATGATGTTATTCGAACGAATTGAAAAGCAGGTACAAATAAAATTAACAATATAAAGGACAATAGGAAAGAATATTACCTACTACTTTAGCATGGTACAATTTTGGTCTTCCACGCTCTGGCTTATATAACTGCTGCTAAAAGTGGCCTTTCGGAATCTGAATTGGAAGATCTGATCTCACTCGATGATAAAGTATTGGACGATGTGTATCAGTACCATTTGCCACCTGTTAGAAGAATACCACCATTGCTTTGGACCAGGATACGAAATGATCTTCCAAATTACTTATCAGAAAGGGAAGCAGATGGAGTGAGCGTAATGAATTGGTACCATAGGTAAACAATATACTACAAGATCTCATTATATGCGAAGTTCAATTATTTTTTATGTTTGCAGACAATTTCGCGATACTGCTCGTGAAAGGTATTTCAAAAATATAAACATGGCTTACTATTTTCACTCGTCCATAGCAGATTACTATCTGGGTATATGGGGTGGAGGTAAGCCAAAACCCTTTAGGTTTACAGAAATTCAAAGACACAGGTAAATAAAACTACAAAATCGTTTCAAAGAGGACGGCAATTCCTTTTTTCATTTTTAGATTCAATTTGACCGAAAAAGAAGGAGCAGCAGACAGGAAGGTTCCAGTTCAACCCCTGTTATTTTTAACAAAGGAAGGAAAAGTAGCAAGATATAATCTACGGAAGGTGCAGATAAATAAAGTATCAATTTTTTCTTATTGTTAAATTTAAATATTATTAGTTTGGAGAGCTCCCTTTTCATCTGGTCCGCTCACACAGATTTAAAGATCTTTACGAAAATGTACTCTTTAACTATGAGTGGTTGCATGCGAAATTGTCAAGTTGTCCTTTACAAGCTGTTTTGGCAGATTATGAAGACGCGTGCATCTTTATTGACAAAAAAGATTCGAAAAGGTAAATCAATGTTAAATGTAACAAACGGTTACAGCTAGGGTTACCACCTTTTCAGGCTTTACATAAAGTATTTCTCGACTAAACGGTTCAAAAAAAAAGTATTCAGCATAAAAATAAAGTATTTTATCTTTTGTTTTTAAAAACATATTTTTTGTTACACCTAGCAGCCAGAAACAAATTGCTGTCGCTCTTAAATACATTAATATAGCTTCTAAACATGGAAAATAAAGATTTAAGTAAACTAAAAGTTTATTTTTAAATAGTTTTAATGAAGCTTTATTCCTGTCGTCCCACCACTTTGCGTTCATAACAGAGAATAATCTTTCTGTAAATGTTAAAGTGGCCGGAACGGACAGCAAAAGTGACACTTGACACTACTTTGAACAGATTTGGGAAATCAGGTTGTTCCGTAAATTTGGCTTGCCATTTTTCTGTGCAATATTATTGATGTAAAAATACTCTGAATTTCGAATAATCGCTTACAAAATTACGACGTTTACTTAAGGCCTTAAATAAAGTATTTTTGCGTACTTTATGTGTCTTGTAAAGTATAACGTACGCACAGTCGAAATAGAGTACAACACTTTATAATAAAGTACGGGTGGCAACCCTAGTTACAGCGTACATAACATGAAGCTATTAGTACCTGAATATCTTTTTAGAGAATTGGTGCTGGTAGCTGATGCCCTCCGCTTAGGAGGTGCAGTTCTGGCGCAATACCCTAACATGCTCGCTCCCCAATTAATTGGACGCCTTCTACCAGAGATAGGCACAAATTCGAACATTAAAATGCTCCTAAACGAATGCGACAACAAGGGTCCCAAACAGTGTGCGCTGGTGCCTCTTTATCATTGCATGCATACCCCCGGAGGACCTTTAAAAGTAACTTTTTAAACCCTATTAAGAATTTAAGTTAATACTTTTTTTTTGTAAGTATTCTCTGGAAGGTCACCAATTCGCAGTGTTTGCATTTTGTCTAACAACTGATCTTCGTTACGTGGTATCGATATCGAATAGGTTTATCACATGGGATCTTTCGACAAGTGATCTCACAAGAGACGTCAACCCTAACGTGGAAGGTATTATGCAACAGCTAATTCTAAGTCCAGATAATAAGTGGGCGGCTGCTTTTACCAATAACAATCAGGTAGAAGTTGAAAATAATAGGAACAATAAAAATACACGATCAGAATGTTTTAATTGTTTTATAGACAATTCTACTTAATATGCTCACAAGTGAATTTGTTGTAATAGAAAATCCTTTACCAAATAATGAACCGGTGGCTGGAGTATTTCTATTAAACAAAAATTTATTTGTATATGGTAGCACTTATTGGGTACTATTTGATATGAGAGGTAATGAAGAAGACAAGTTCCGAAGCCCAGCCACTGAAGAAGGCTGGAATATTTTGGGTACCTAAGAGATTATCTTGGAAATTTTGGGCACCCATTTAACTGTATTTCTTTCAAGCTATGGAATTTGACAATTTCGCTCAGTATCGAATACTATTTTGGAAAGGAAGCATAGAAGACAACAAAATGATGTTCTATTATAGAAATAACGATTCTGAATTCGAACCATTTTTCTACCATGGGTAATAAACAATTTAACATTTCGTTATTGGAGGGAGTGTTAATTCTTTTTTCCATTCCAGTGCCATAGCCTTCAGCAAAGATAGGCAAACTATATACACTTGCACACAAGAAAACAATTACTCCGTTTCAAAGTTTCAGAAAAATGATGATAAAAAAGTATGGGAGAAAGTTCTGGATTTACCCAGATCAGAAAGTGATGAAACTGAAATAGTTTTACAATTAAAATTGGATAGAAAGGACACAATTCTTTTAGGTAAGCGACAACACTGAGAGTCCAATTTGTGATAAAAATTACTTGCAGCTTCTACTAGCAACGGATTTATAATTTGGGATTTTTCCGAAGAAAACCCCATAACTACAGGGGCTTTAGTTTTGCAATTGCCTTACGGTGTTCGCAATATTACCATCAAAATGCTTCAATCCAATTCTGTAATGATTAGTGCCCAAAAGAATTATGCCATAGCCGGTGTTAGGTAAGAAATACTTGTTAATTAATAAAAATAAAAAATATAAAAATGATTAATCACTATTTTAGAAAGAATCTTTACGTTTGGGAACTTAAAAATCAGAAGTTAGTAAAAGTTTTAGACGCTCATTTCGCTCGAATAATACAATTGGACGCCCTTATCATTGGTAACTGGAATTGTATAGTGACATCATCAATAGATAGGACCGTAAAAGTTTGGAATATCAATAACATATTCGAACAAGTTCACGTTATAGACCGTCATGAACTACAAATCGACTCAATAAGGTTTACAAAAAATTACTAAGTACAAACGTCACTATCAGCAACGGTTTGTAATTAGCCACTCCTACTGACCAAAATGTTATATAGACAATCCGGGTTCTGTTCCCCGTTGATTCAACACCTTTTTTTTCCTGTTTCCTTTCTTACTACTTCCGTTGCCAGCATCTCATTCGAGTGCCGTTACCGACCGCAGAATGGGATAAATTCAGTAAAAGTAGAAAACACTTTCATTTATATATTAATATCTGTATATAAAAACGACAGTTCGTTCCTTTCAGTTTAGCAAAAGATGTACCCCTGGCAGTAACAGTAACACGAAGTTGTGTAGGTGTGTGGGACTTAACAGTTGGAAAACTCAAATCCAAATTGGCGGACACACCATTGGGGGCCATTGTCACACATGCTTTGATAACCCCAGACGGAAAGTAAATAATACAATTACTTACTTAAATAAATTCAATGCCAAACTACATATTATGTTCACAAAGAATGACCATTGTACTGTTTAGGTATATTATATCTGCCGAATCAGGAAATATTCTAATATGGAATAGGATTATGGAACAAGTAATATTTAAGGATGAACAACAGGGCATAGAACAATTAACATTATTAGATGAAGGTGCAAAAGTTTTGTCGATATCAAAACCAAGTAACCCGCCAGGGACTGATTCCATGAGAGTTATGGCAACTGTATGTTTGAGAAATATACCAGGTAAAACAATTACAACTATTTCAAGTACTAATTACTAATTACATATCGTCTTTTAATATCATTTTCCATTATTATGAGGTATGTACTGAAATTTTGAAATATTTTAGACGGTGATCTAAACTACACTTTTGATTATTCTGTAAGAAGTATTACGGGAGTGCCCTTTAAGAGATGTGTTGTAACATGTGATGGTCAAAATTTAACACTGGTTGGAGCTGACAAGAGTAATAATAGGGACTGCATACTTGTACACAGTGCCATAACAGGCGCTTTTGTAAATCGAATTTCTCTAAAATTATGTGGAATTAAGGTACATAAATATAACAATTAACAGAATACAGATAAAACATACCCTAAATGCATACCTAGTATAAAAAATAACAGCATTTTTAAATTTTTGTAACTTACTGAATTGGAAAAATTATAAAGATTTGCTTTATAATAAAATTTGGATAAATTTTAGGATGCACATAGTTTGGTTGCAATGCCCCACAAGGCCCACCTTTTAGGTATTATAACAGTGGACAAAGGTGCAATAATTGATATAAAAAACAAAAAACATCTTAGAACAATACCTAGGTGGGGAGGCAGTTGCACTCAAGATGGTAAAAGTGGATTATATGCCCCATCGAGGTATGCATTAGTAGAAATAAATAAAAAAAGTAAAACATTGAAACTCTGCTTATAGGGGTGGTTTAGAACTTATTGAATTAAAAAAGGGTCAAACAGTAAAAACATTTATACCCAAAGTAGCAGAGGGAGTTTTTACAGTAATATGTTCACTTACAAAAGGTGATGAATATATTTTATATTACCATAGTGGAAGAAAAACATTAAGGGTCTTCCGGTATGTATTCAATTTTCAATAATCAAATAATACCTAAATAAAAAAATGTTTTAGTGCATCTGATGCAGAAATGTTAGCAAATTATAAAGTACAAGCTGAACTTACAGCAGTAGAAAGCACTTCAGATGGAAAAGCAGTTGTACTTGGTACTGTTGATGGTTGTGTTTCAGTTTTGGCGATTGTTGATCCCAATAAAATTGATATGTATAATTACATTGCGATAATGCCTTCAAGAGACGAACAGGTGCACAAATTAAACATTTATATGAACAATTTAAACACTTTTCAATACAAAAGTTTTAAATTATTAGACCGCAGTCAGTCATTCATACATTCAATAGTGTATTGCGGATTGCCGAACTTAAACAATACAAATATTTCTTTGTTAAAATTTTCTGATTGTCTGTAATATTACGAAAAAAAAAAAAATTAAAACAATTGCAAGAAAAGTGCTCTACAAAAAATTAATAGACTACCTTTGTTGCAAAGTTGGTTGAAGTGTAATAGTAGTCNTCAGAGGTTATGTTGAGATACTTAGGTTATTCGATACAAATAAAAATTCAAAAAGAAATTCCATCAATTATAAAAAAATCCTCACCAAACTCGTTATTAGCACTAGAATATTACATTATTGTACTTTTATTTTATTAATTTACATCGGTTGTAAACTCACAGCACCACTCTGTCTACATAACATTTCAAAATACACACCATACACACATGTATAGGGATGTCCAAAACAAACTTGACGTGACTGAGATATAGGGTTGACCAAAAAAAATTATCACTTTTTATTAATAATCAAAATGTGTATTTTGTTCATAAGTTAAATTTAAATATGTTTTATAGTGGAAGAAGAAACTGCAAAAAACTCAGCTTCAACGAAAATTCAAAGCAGTGGCTTATATTGCAAGACTTACGAGTACATTACAGTCAAACCACTGCAAACAGAAAAAAGGAAAAATCGCCCCAGGAAAAGAAAATAAATAAATAAGTCTTATCTTTCAACTAAGTACATATATAGATAGATATACATATGTTACCTACTGTATTTAAATTTATTTATGAAAAGAAAAATAAATACATTAAAATGTTTTTCACTCTTTTTTAATTATTGTCTGATTGTCTGATTAATCTGAAAAAATACAATTGTTTTACGCTACAAGGGTACTTTCAGAATAAGACATATGTCGTCGTAGGGGTAAAAAGGCAGAATCAATTAAAAGTTATTAACATTTAAAAATTATTTTATTATCATTCCTGAATTTGAATTACAATAGAACGAAAAAAATAATATAATATTTAAATGAAGTCTTCTCGTTGTCATATCCATTGCCAGAGGTCGTATAATATTAATGTACCATTTCAAATTTTAAACCATTAATTCTTTGCTCGTGGTCGAAGTGTACGGTCCTGAAAACGTATTTGAACGTCCTGTACCCTCATGTTAGGTGTCAAGAACTTCCTTAAAGTGTCAACCCCATCACGAGGCATTCTATCGAATGGAAAACCCATCGATTTTCGATCTGGATAAAGACGATCCTTGATACCACAATAGCTCATGGCATCATTGCATACTCCGGAAATGTCTTGAGCCACCTGTAATCATGGCTTTAAGTAGGTACTTACCCATTGAAAATGATCTGTACAAGGGGGAAATAAGGTCAAGCATCTTCAGAGAAACCGCCCACTTTAAAATTATCTTCAGATTTCTTGTTCATCCAATTCAGTTTCTTGATTCACATACATATGTACAAAACACAATCACTCTTTCATTTACACTATACACACTGAGACGCCCAAATCAGTGATTAATTTTTGATCCCATAATAACTTTTAATAATATTTGTATAAAACAATACCCATTATTACAAAACTTACCCTGTCATCTTGGTAGTTGGAAATCATTACAAAAAGTTCACAGGCATATCCATCGGTGGTTCCTTTGGGGATAAGAAGGTGTTGGGGCCATCCGCATCCACAGAAATTGAATTGTTCCAATGAAGCCTGGTCAGCAGGTCTATCCCAGTCTAAATTCCTGAAGGTTCTCTCGAATGGTATGGTAACTGATGACTCGGTAGAATTGCGAGTAATTGTATTCTTTCCTTGTCGTACTTTAAATAAAAAAATTATTAAAATGATAATGGTCACTAGTTTTTACAATTAAATAAGACTGTATATTCACTAAGAACAGGCGGAAACTTTATAAGGACCTTTTTGCCTTAAATTTGGTTTATGATTTCACAATAAAAGTTATTTGAAAAGTCAGATATATATTTATATAGATGATGAAACATACTTACAGTTGACTACAAATCTGTCCAATTCAATGAAGAGTCCTTTTTGATCCCTGAATAGCCATGGGTTACCCCTTTCATCAAACTTGGGAGCAAGGAAAATTCTACAAGTGCCTTGCCTTTGGGCCCCATTGTTGTCGACCGTTACGGTGTATCTGAACGGTTGATGTTGAAGATGAGTAAATCTGGCGAAAACTGATCCTCTAGGTTGGAAATCCATACCACGAGACAGGTCAACGTCAGATTGTTGCCAGAACGTATTCAACACGTTAGGAGTCGAATTCTGGCTGCTTACAGATACATCACTCACAGTAACCCCATCAAAAGTCAACTGTAATAAACATATTTATTTATTCGTTAGGAATTATGTACGATTATTTACCTGCTGAACGGAATATCTGGGCAGAGTCGCCTTGTGTTCCTGGAACATATCGTCAACGAATGCATGCCATCTGTAGAAAACGGGATCCCTCATTGCTGTGGCACTGTCACCCATGACACCAGCAGGTTCCTAAAAATAATGAAATTAACCATCATCATACGCAAATTTTGAACGATTATTTTACCAAGTTACGATGGTCGGGGTCGTGGATGAACGATAAAAAGATGTGACCCATATTATGAAGATCCCCATAGTAGTCCCGGTTGGGGGAAAGTATACTTGACTCAACTATATTTCCAAGTATATCAATACCTTCAGTTTCGGTCAGTTCGATTCTGTTATTCCTATCCTGCAACGAAATAATCCATATATTATTAATTAAAAAATATCACAAAATTATATTAAATGTGTTATATCGTACATCCTGAGCAAATCCCTGATGGATAGCTTCATAGATCCTGTCCCTCCATCTCTCAAGGGTGTCGATATCAGCATGGATTTGGTCTTGGTCTCTACTGAGATTGCTAAGTCTCTGATTGGCCACACGAGCTGGCCAAGCTCTGCTCGCAACAATGCTGTCTAATTTAGGGAAGTATCCCTCGGGAATAGGTTCACGCCATTTAATCAGTCGTTCCACACGGTTCAATTTGTTGCAAAGACGTTCAATGTTGTATCTTCAAAAACAAAAACATGGCAAACTCAAAGAGTTACTTTAAATATATATAATATAACTATTTTATTTATTAGTACCTGGCTACCACTTGTTGATGCATGTAGTAGAACAATTCTCCACGTCTGTTCTTATTAACGACTTCACGAGCTGCCTCAAATGGATAGACCAAGTGCCAATGCCAATGGTGCAAATTAAGACCAATATCCTCTCTAAAATATGCCACCCTGTGTTCATGTTCCAAGTCTGAAGCAGTGTAGTCTTTTGGGATTATTATCGGCTCCTATAATACAAATTATTATTTATACATTAATTGTCACTTAATCAGTTGCAAACTTCTTTTGAAGCAGTTTATTATTGCAATCCATGTAGCACAAAAAAAGAGCCTAGAAAAAAGTTTACAACCCATCCATAAAGTAATTCTTAGTAATGGTAAACATTTACCCTAGATCCTTCGGACACTATGGTCATTTCCTCACGAGCCTTGGTAAAAACTTTGCTGTCTACATATTTTTCTGGGAATGTTGTTATTAAACTTGGAACGTCCAAATTTCTGGTATCCGGACGATGCAAAATGGCCACTGAGAGTGCATAGTTGAATAATAGGGGATTCACCCTATCTCTTGCGTAAACGGCACACGATATAAAATCTTCCACTGTACGCATACCTGTAAATTTTAACGTAAGTGAATATCCAAAAATTGCAAACGAATTATTTACCAAGGAAAATATCGATCAATCTGCCAGCAAGTGTGCGGTGTTTAGGAAGGAAAAGAGTAAAGTTTTCATCTCTTTTCAGATCTAAAATCGGACCTAGGTCAGGAAGACGAATTTCCTTTACTGGGATCCTTTCGTCAGCTTCTTCTCCGAAACGATTTGCAATATCAATTCCTATCGGCTTGTAGCGTTCAGTCTAAGAAAAAAGAAAATATAATATATTCCTAGGAATTATGCAAATATCTTTTAATATACCTACCAGGTATGTACTCGGAACATCGAAAATAGATTTCTTTTTACCAGCTTCTTTACTAACGAAAATGGGTTCAAGGGGACGATCGTAGAGAAGTAGAAGGTTTTGCTTTTTATTAGCAGTTTGCGCCATATTGTCCAAAGATCTGATAAAAAATAAAATAATTGATTATTGAAAATACAATATATAAATAAATTTAAAACTAATAAAAAACATGCTTCATTAAATTATCATGCGTTTTAATATTTAAAGGGTTATGCTATAAGCATTTTTGCAAAAATTACTGTCGTATTTTTCTTAAAAGTTCATCTTCTGATAAGTTATCATCTTCTTCGAAAATCAGTTTAGCTAAATACGGGCAAGCCATTTCTGTTCTTCAAATAATGAAATCGATGAAGGGATGAAGGCTGCTGTACCATTAAGAAGGCAGTTACCATTACCCAATTGTTGTCAGATTTTGGTAAAATAATTTTAGTTTAAATGATTAAGATGTACCAGTATAATACAAAACATCTTACCAAATAGTGGAGTTTACTATGACCAGACGTAAAAGTTGCAAAGAACTATCGAACTTATTCAAAAAACTCGACTTTTATACCTATACAACGAAGGTATATCAGAATACCCTTATGAAAAATAGGAAGTGGTAAATAACGATAACAGACTAGATTAAAAAATATTTTGTTTATACGAAATTAATCTATTATTTTGTGGTTTATTTTCTTAAGTTGTTGTTAATACTTGATGCAAAAAAGATATGTGGAGGCAGAAATTAACTCTTTTAGAAACAAAAATAAAAATAAAAAATAAATATTTTAGATAATTTTAAAATGTAAAACAAATTACATTAACGATTTGGTGTTATATTAACATAATGATTAATATAAAACGTCTATTACATTTTTATATATTTATTTAAATTTCGCGGGTTTTAGTTTCGGCGTATGTCGCCACCTGACATTTCCTCTTCCATTTCTATCATTATTCTTGTTTGTTGTTGCATCTTGTGCCTCTTTACTGGTGTGTACCGGTAATTTAACGTTAGCTACCTTAAAATCAAACGATTGCTTAAATAATTTAAGTGTAAAAAGCCGTATTTTACTCCGGATTATAAAAAATGTCTCATAATAGAAACGATTGTCGAATTTATGTTGGAAATTTACCACCAGACATTCGTACGAAGGACATTCAAGATTTATTTTACAAGTTCGGTAAAGTCACATTCGTCGATTTAAAGAATCGCAGAGGGCCCCCTTTTGCTTTTGTAGAATTTGAAGACCCAAGGTAATTATTAAAGCAACATTAAGTTTACTTGCTAAAGAAACGCATATCCTTAGAGATGCTGATGACGCAGTACATGCTAGGGATGGTTATGATTATGATGGATACCGTTTGCGAGTAGAATTTCCTAGGGGTGGTGGACCTAGTGGACATAGAGGTCGAGGTGGAGGTGATAGAGGTCGCAACAGAGGACCTCCAGCCCGTAGGTCACAGTTTAGGGTACTTGTAACGGGTAAATTATATGGTTATAATGTTAATTGTCAAACACCACAACATGTATTTTAAAGGTTTACCACCTTCTGGTTCATGGCAGGATTTAAAGGACCATATGAGAGAAGCTGGAGATGTATGTTTTGCAGATGCATTTAAAGATGGTTCAGGTGTGGTTGAATTTTTGAGATACGAAGACATGAAGTATGCTATTAAAAAATTGGATGATTCAAGGTTTAGATCTCATGAGGTATGTATCATTGTACTTTATACTAACAATTATGAAAAGGATTGATTTTTTGCATGTAATGTGTGGCATAATGGCATAATTTAATTAACCTTAGTTTGCAATACATAAAAAGCAATGCATAATTTAAAATGTATTATATTTATATGTATATACAACACTAAAATTTAGCTTGTTTTTATTTGATTAATAAATAACATGACAATAATTATCAGCAACCGTTTCCTACATAAAAAGATAACCACTGTTTGTTTTATCAGTATAATAATATATATTAGGTTGTGGTATCTTTTGCGATAAGAAAAGATGTTTTTGTGGTCAACGTTATTTTGTATAATTTTAAAAATACTCGAAAGGTCTTTGTATTTGATAGTGTAAATCACTAAAAAAAATTTCTAATGATTTAATGGATACTTTCTACGACTTCATTCGAAAGCTTACTTATTTTAATTTCAGAGTTTTGTTGGTAATATCTTTTGTTATCTATCATATATGCTTTCAAGTAATATATTTTTCGTTCTTAATAATAATTTTTTTACTTATGTCCAGCGAAGTGCATGTGTTGTAACAGCTACTTGATAATAAAATTAAATTTCATTTCCCAGGGCGAAGTTTCATATATTAGGGTGAAAGAAGATCGCGGTGGTAGCGACAGACGTTCGGGGGGTCGGTCTCGTAGCCGTTCGTATTCACCACGTCGTCGGGGCTCCCCAACTTACAGTCCTGTACGTCGCAGTTACTCAAGGAGCCGTTCACATTCATAATACCACCCATATAACTGACAAAATTTGACTTAATATGCGGACCCACTTTTGTGTACGTATTATGGTTTTTTGACACCCATTTTTTTTATTAGGTTTTTGTGTAAGTGTTTATAAAACATACACACACTATGCATATATCAATAATTAAATTTCAACACATTGAGCATTTAAAAAGACAAATAATTGTTACATGTGTGTGTTTTTTTGTTTCAATTTCTTTTAATTGCCTGATCAAATCGTATTGAATTACATGTTGAAGTATGACTATTAGGTACACCTTTCACAATATTGTAAATAAATCTAGTTTCGGATTTTTTTGCTGTATTGAGTAATCAAAAAAGAAATTGACATTTTTGGCCATTATTTTTACGACTGAGTTACCATCACAAGAGCATTCCTAAAAACATATGTGAAATTACACTTTGTTGTCTTACATTTTCCTTTTTATTGAATGAAGACGTTATTAATTTTTTTAAGTAATTGTTAAAGCAAAAATATTCAGATTGTGGACCTTCGATTTACACAATTTATTAGTCTTAATAGTGTAGTGTGTAAGTTTATTAAAAAAAAATGATCAAGTCAAATTGTGGGCCCCTTTTTGCTATTTCTACCGTAGTATTAATTAAAAGTATGTTTGTAAAACGCCATATTTGACGTTTAGATGGAAGGTGCCACATAGTTTGATGTAAAAAAATAATAACAGCCGAAAAACTAATGTGTATTCTTTCTTTTACAAATTATATGTACCGACGAGGGAGTAATAAAGTCCAGTCAGAAAGAGTTATAGTCTACAATTTATTGGATGTGCATAAGGAAAGGATGAATGTTGTTGGAATGGGGAATAAAAAAAGGGATTTTAAGAGGAGGATATATCAAAGGATCAATGAGGATAAACGCGGGCTGATAAAAGAGGATTTAAGGGATAGGATTCAGGATTTAAAAGGGAGACATGTGTAAAGGATAGGATTTAGAGGAAAACGGACTAAGGATTTTATCGGGATAAGATTCAGGATAGAAATCACGATTTTAAGGGATTAACGAATAGGATTGCAAAAGGATTTCGGGATTTTGTTTGGAATAGGATTTTCGAAAAGGATTACATTGTGGACAATATAGAATATTTGGATAAACGATAACACGTAAATTCGAGAAAGAAGAAAGAAATGGATTAAAAAAGTTGCTTTGTCTTTAAAATTCAGCAATATCTTCTCGCTACATAAGAATTACTTTATTTTTCTGTGTTAAAAAAGTTATTTTTGATTGTAAATTAAGTACCTAATTACACCTAAAAAAGCTTTAGTCATTATAAAAATTAAAAAAACTTGGTATTTAGTAGTACCTTCAAGCTTGAATAGAAATTTTCTGTTTGATTATATTAACAACGCCCTTTAGATTTGAAGTTCTCTTCATCCCTTTATTCATTATAAACAGAAAACTAAAGTAAGAAATTTACTTCAGTCAAAGTTTTGTATTGTACATTAATTATGCAATGCAGCATTAAGTAAGAAACGAACAAAGCAACTTATCGATCGTCAAAAAATGCAATTGGATGATAGAAAACATTATCACGTTATATACGAACAAACGGATTAAAATAAATAAATTAAACGAAATGAAATATACAGAACTAAGGGTAAAACCGTAATAGTAACTAACTGTATTCAAAAGGATTCATGTAAAGGATTACATTCGAGCACTGTTCTGAAGGATTTATGAGGGATGGATTGACCATCACTTTTTTCGGATAATTAAGGTATCTCTTTGATATCTCCTTAAAAATTAGTGTTTATGTTTGTAATGAGTAACTAACACAGTCCCTTATTAGCATGGCTTCTGCAATTTGTTTGTTTTCATTATTTTTTCTCCTTTTTTCAAAGTTGCAGAAACCAACAGCATGTTCCCCAAAGATTATTTTTTATCTGATTGTCTATTATTTTTATACCACAATTCGTTTGTGGCTAAAATTAGCTGATAACAGCACCAAAAAGTACAAAGAATGTATTTTTGTGTCTGCATACGAGAGAATGTTTTTTATCCTTTATTTATTTAATTTTTATTTTTATTAATTTTATCCACTGGTTGCAGAATTACAAAAGGTGAAGTATTGCGTATGTTGTACATTTTAATCACTATTTATTTTATTTTTCCTATTAGCTGCTTTGTGGGTACCATA